TTTGAAAGCACCCCAAATCAACAACTGTACTATTTTTCTTATCTCGACTTTGATCGTCGTCTACATATTTCGAGTGATCTTCATCCTCATGTTGAGGTACATTGATTTGAAGTGTGTCCTTGATATGATGTTCGTAGTTTCTCGCCTCCACCTTATTCACATACTCTATGATCCGCTGGAAAGATTTGTTGTTCACTTACTAATAGTTATATCACTTACCGTAACTACATCAGCTATAACAGGAGAAGCTTTCACAAGTGCCATTGCAGGGAATCCGAAAACAGGGGAAGTCGAAAGTAGCAAAAAAATAATGAATCGGAACACATTCATCTTAATGTGTGCCTGGTAATGGCGATCACTAAAATATCCTCTGGGAAGGGGTCTCTCAAGCGTCGTCTGAACCTTTATTACTTTATTACTGTAAAGTTACAACCCCACCGGATGAAGCAGCACTGCGATTTCTAGCGACGTAAGTTTTTTGTTCTGTTTTCCCAAGAGATTTACTCAAGAGACTTTTCAGATATGGACTAGTGCCGAATGAGCGAGAGTGCCCAGAATGCCTCAACGGTAAGATGAGTCTTGTCAAAGATAATGCCCTTCCGTTACATTTCGTCTGGCGATGCTCTTCATGCAAAACTTCAAATATCATCACAAAGAAAATGATTCGGTAAGTGATTTCCTTCTAATTCTACTCACCCAGTAACTTCATTACAGAGAGAACACATTTTTCCAAGAACAAAAACTATCCGTACAAAAAATAGTACACATAGCGGCGGATTGGGTCGAAAGTCCAGGACGAAACAACGAAAGAACCGCTTCGTTGCATGGAGTCACGACTTCGACGATTGTTAATCTCAACAAACTTTTCCGACAATTGACGGAGCAATGGTTCGAGCGACAAATTGAAAAAAATTCAAATTTTCTGCTTGGTGGACCAGGTAGTTAGTAATTTTTTCCAGAATAAAATAGTCACTTTCAGGGAAAATCGTCGAAATCGACGAAAGTCACATGTATAAAGCGAAATACAACCGTGGGCACATGCTAAGAAGAAAATCTATCTGGATATTTGGCATGACTGAACGTCACACAAATAAAGTGAGTGACTCTTGATATAACGTTCTTAGAAGCTATACTTATTCAACAATGTATTATTGATCATATAATTTCTTTGAAAAACACTCATA